CGCCAGCCGCGAGGGACAAGGCGCAGGTCCAGATGGAGCTCCCGTTTGCCGAAGGCCTCGGCGAGGATTTGCTGGCGCAGCTCTGCCGGCAGGCGAGCGAACAGCCCGAGATGGGCGACCTCGGCGGATGCGGATGTCGCGGGTGGTGTAATGGGCCGTGGGCGTTCCAGGGGCAGCAGGGGCGGTGGCGGAAGAGGAACATCCGGCTCGGGCCGTGGCTTCTTGACGCGATCGCGGACTGATTCGTAGAAGCGTCGCATGACTGTGCATTGAACTATGGATGCTCGATAGAGGAGATGTGATGAGCCGCAGTCCAAAGAGGCTGTGGCCTTGGGGGCTGTGAAGGTGAGGCACAGTCACGATCACGGTGCATCCTTTGAACACACTGTACACAGGCGTCTTGGGGACATATAACATTCGACATAGTTCAAGTAGGCTCAAGAAACTACCTGCTGCTCAGCGCCTCGTCGACACGCATAGACACGACCTTGATATCCCTTTGCACCGCAATGCCTGAAGTCCTCAGTTCTCTGTCCCCAGAGGCCGCGCCATTGCCGAGCCTCCCGCCCTCCTCGTCACCGTGGCCCCTGGGCGAGGCGCTGACCTCGACCTGCCACTCCGCGAATCCATTGTTATGACCGCTAGCAGTACCACCACTGCTCTCGGTTGCGGCACCAGATGGTCTTGATACCTCGTCGTCCTCTTGCTGTCGTTGTTGCTGCTGTTGTTGTTCCTGCTGCTGTCGTTGCTGCTGCGCCATGATATCCTCGCGCCGCAGCGACTCCTCGGACCCGCTGTGCTCGCCGAGCCGCGACCCAGCCACGGTCGTGCCCGGCGTGCTGGAGAACAAGGTGGACAGCTGGATCGAGTAGCCTCGGTGCTGATGCCTCCCCGAGGACCCGGCCCCGAGGTGGGACGAGTAACGCCGCTCCTCCCAGGTCAGCACCGTGGGAGTCTTGCCACCTCGAGATCCGCTGTCACCACCACCGCCGCCGCCAGTGCTAGGGCCGTGGTTCTTACCGCTGCTCGCTCCTGCGCCACCGGAGATGTTGGACTCGCCGCCACTGGCGTCGCCGCCACGGCGCCGGTTGCGGCTGTGCTTGTTTCGGCCCGACACGGAGTTCGACAGGAGGCCGAACTTGAAGCGCTTGAGGATCGGCTGGAGAGTCGCGATGGAGCCGACGATGATGCCGACGCCGGGTTCGACGACCGCTACTGTGGCGATACCGCTACAAGGAGTGGGACGTCTCATTAGCATGTGCACCTTCGCAGCGGGAAAGGTGGTTCGATGTGGAGGTAACGTGTGGAAGAGGATATGTGGGTGCACTTACGTCGTGGCGTGGAGGAAGTCGGCCGATATGTCAATGACCTTGAGGAACGGGATACGGAGGAGCAGAGAAATGCCGCAGCTGTCAAGAAGAGATATCAGCAAACAGTGGTTTCGTAGAAGTACAAATAGAGAGAATCAATGTCCGGTGACTTACAACACTCCCATACCGAGCATCGTCGAGATACCAATCTTGGTCCTGCGGTTGATCCTGACATTCCACAGGATCGCAACGGGAAGCAGCGCCATAACCCAGTCCATGACCGCGCCGATGACGGCGTGCACAATGGTGGCGACGGGCACGACGCGCCGGTCCAGGCAGTAGCCCTTTGAGCCCTTGTGCTGGGTCCAGAAGTGGCTCAGGGGCACGCACTGCGCGGCCATGGGCACCAGGTACGCGATCGACAGCAGCAGGTTGCCGACCATGACGCCCATGATGACGCGCTTGTGCCACTTGACCACGGCAAGGCGCAGGAGGAACCACGCGATCGACATGCGCACGCAGAAGGATATCGGGGGGTACATGACCTCGCACATGGCCCAGGTCCAGAGCGCCGTCTCGATGGCGTCGGGGGGGAGGTCTGAGGTCCAGCGGCCCGTGCCGCCCACGGACGGGCCGTAGGCGCAGATAATCATGTAAGGGATGAACTGGATCTGTTTGTATGCGGTTGTGCAGAGCGCGGCGTTGGGTCAGTCATGTACACGACTGTGGTGGTGAGGTTGGTGGTGCATGCAGGTTGCGGGACAGAGAGGGAGCTTTGCTAAAGTACTTACCACAGCAGCAGTCATCCACCAGTCGTCAATCGTCATCTGGCGGTTCATCCCAATCTTGACGTAGATCCGCAGGGCGAACACTGCAAGGGCCAGTGTCAGAGTCGCGAGGGTGACCGCGAAGAGGATCGTGCCTCCCGGGTTGATCTCGTAGGACAGATTCTCTCTGACACCCATCTTTGCGCTTGATGGACTTCCTCCTCAGATTTAGAACAGCCGGTACGCAAGTGCTCGGGCGCTTGCACAAGCGGGCGATTGCAGATGCAAGACAAGTCAAGTGTCGGAGCCAAGGTGTCGATGGGAGCAATGACACGATGAGAAGCGGGCCGAATTCGCATAGGGCGTCCGATTTTTCCGAGCCGAGTGTCTAGGGCGTGTGGCCGTATATATACATGTATATATGATCTTATCGTACATATGCAGGGCCTTGTGGAAGACCGGCGAAATGAGAATGGCAAAGACGTCGTCGACTCTTTGGTTGTTTGCTTGCACCTTGTCGTTCAAGGGTTGTATTCAGCTGGGTCCGGCCCGCGCTCGAGGACGAACTCGTGGGATTCAGGAGAGCGGCACCTGGGGATCGAGAAACCTGGCAGTTCAAGTAGTGATGGTTCGAGGCCGAGTACTGGGTATGGGTTGATGCACCGGCATGTTTGCTTTTTCCAACGTCGCAGGGGTATGCTGACCTGTCAGATTGCGCACCGGCAGCCCGTTGGCCGCCAGAACGTGGCAGCCTCCTGCATTCCATCACACCCGGCCTGCATGGGTTCAACGAATGACCTAGTGGGGGGGGCGAATCTGATATGTGATGAGGCGAGCGACCTGTTGAACTGCGCAAGCCAGCTTCGAGAACCTGTTCTCGCTTGCCTAGCTAGATCGAGAACGGTGTTACACGCGGCGATCTTGGCAACGTGCGTGTTCCCGACGTTGCACCAAAACCTGGGGTTGTTCGGTCCCGGGGTCGCTCTGCAAGTTGAAGCCAATAAGGTGGAATCATTGCACGCTCACAGGGTTGCCTGCAACTGAGTCAGGGTCACAATTGCAGCGGCCACATGCACCCACCCACCTCGAGCTGAGAACCGTTGTTGGTGGCGGACATCGCTCATCTACCGGTTTCTCGGACGTGCAAGGTACAGGGTTGTAACAAATTATCACACTTATCACTCGCAAATGGAATTGCACAAGAGGCATATCTGCCTCTCTCATGGCTCGGTATTGCTGTGTGAATCGGGCATGCTGATCGTTCAAGGACTGGCCATGTTTAAAGTCACTATCGTGCCGGGCGGAGCTGCTGACATGAGAGCAAGGATCTTGAACAAGCCCAGATGCACGTTTTTTTTAATTGCCACCAGGAACAGGCCGCTTCCCCGGTTCGACTTGCCCAGGAAATATCTGTTCGATCCTTACCAAGACTTGAATGGAGCTTGTGTGAGCCCAAGCGTGTTCTCATTTGCAACCTACCCGCCACAGAGATGGCCGCCCTGAACCTTCGTTGTAGCCTGAATGCGAACGAACGTGATCGCGCCACTCCATCGCTGGCAGCAGGAGAACAAGAATGCTACCCGTCTGAAATCGCGGGGCGTTGGGTTGCACCGTTCTGTCACATTCGTCATCACTCCGCGGAGTGTCGTCCTTCAATCCGAGGGTCCCGCGGGGAGTTTCGTACACCCATGTCAGCCAGCCAGCCAGGCAGCTCCATCAATCAGGACTGAGCCTAGCCCGCAAAGTTTAGGGTTCGCCACTACTTGTATGCACACAAACAGTCAGGCAGCATGGGGAATAGCCGGAGTTGGACATTCTCACGAAACGCATGTGCATTGCTGCAAGGCACTGGCCCCACGATGCACTTGCCGATCAATCTTTGTGCAGCGTCCGTTGCGAAGTGCCGAACGGCAGACATGCAGGGCGATTCGTCGAGGTTCTGCCCAGATATTGAAACCACTCTATACTAGGTTTCTCGGGTTTTCGTCGTCCCGCGAGCGCCGACACCGGCGTCAAGATATATTACAGTGAGGACTCGCGACAGACCTGATGCTCTCCCAAGTTGCTTCTCAAACCGCATGTTGATGTGTGGGGGTCCCGCTGGGTGAGATGGACGCGTTCTTAGTGGTCAGCCTGGCATGTGGCAATGTGAGTTCGGATCTGTCATATGCAGGGGGTCGGTTGGGAAACTTTTTTTTGCATTGCGCTGCGGCCACGGCAACTTCCGGCTCCTCGTTTTCTTCACGAACGCGAAGATCAACCACGTTTGCATGAATGCAGGAAGCACACAAGAACGATGCCAGACTGCGCAACCGGATTCACGGGAGAGATCTCCTGCAGAAGTGTGATCTGGCGCCTTGCATGCCCAGTTCTTTGCATATGATGTCATGAAGAAAAAAGCAAGCAGCTGCAGGTGCTTATCTTTGCAGCGTGGTCAGCGACTGCTGTGTTCTGAATGGGTCAACCGGACCAGCGTAAATTGAGCTGTATGACATGTCTCTGGTGGAGGCGACCAGTTTTGCTGTGATAAGGCATATTTTCGGTTCACAACGACATGGATGGTTTCTCCATAAAGCAGATGAGTTACAGCAAGGTATTGGCGCCTGACTGCCCTGCAGTCAGGCGCAGAGGCACACAAGGGGTACGCATGTCTTAAACTACTGTAGAGATGTTACAGTTCCGGCTCCTCTTTCGGAGACGCAAAAATGCAGCGCAGAGCAAGAGGGCTAGCTTGAGTGGACGAGACCGCCAATTTCTACGGAAGGGAGCAAGCCCTCGGATACTGCTCCCAGCGTCTATGCCTGTACCACACGTAACACGGGAACCAAGGACGCCTCCATCATGCAATGACCGATCTACTTACGCCGTCAATCTAAACTATCATAAGCCGGTTGTTTCATCACAGCACAACAAGAAACACTCTGGCTTCGTGGCCCAATGGCAAGGCGTCTGACTACGACGGTTCAAGAACACAACTTGGATTCCAAATTTGCAATCAGGAGATTCTGGGTTCGATCCCCAGCGAAGTCATCTTTTTGCGCCCATCGTCCTCGGGGACTCTACGAAGTCTCATGAGTCGGGCGAGACGAAAATTTTTGTTCGCGGAGGCGGGGCCGGCTGTTTATGGGGCCTCCGAAGTGCGGCCCACTCCGGGGGGGGGGGGGGGGGGCGCCGGCCTGTCCGGTCCGGCACTGTAGAGACAGGCGGAGGTAGAACGCCTGCTGAAACCCTCGGGATACCGTGTAAAACCAGGTATTGAATCTAGGGGGCCAGAATGGACCAGAATGGGGAATCGGGGTCATTGCAGTTTCGATGCGATGATCAGGAGCTGGACAGGAGACGTTTAAGAAGGAGGAGGCGGAACTACTGTGCTTCTGTTCGACAGTGAAGCTAGGAGGTGATGGTGGACTCTACATGCTTTGTACCACTGATGCAAACTAAGAAACATGTCCTACATTGCAGGGAGCAGCGGCACATCAACCGGAGGCTGCGACTGCGTAAGCACAGGTGCACGGCCACCTTGCACTGCCACAGCAGACTGTCACGGGGCAATTGTGTCCTGTGTGCCTTGCGTACTCTAGGAGCTGGCGGCGGGGTCGTGTTGTCAGACTCATATACAGCCTTTCCGCTGTTTAGTGCACAACTATGCTTGGTGGCTGACTCCACAACCTCCTTCGCTACATTATCGGCTCCGGGCGGTCCCGCTGGCTAGCCGTCCAGCAGCGATGGCAAAGCTTCCTCGATACTGCTACAAGCCTCTGGAGACTCTGATGACGATTCGTGTCCTAGTGTTGAACGCCGCAACCAGCGTCAATGAACCACTCACATGCGCAATCGAGCATCAGCAGCGCGACTCGGCAACTGCCGACTATTGTGCTATATCGTACGCCTGGGGCGTGCCGAACTTCACCCACCAACTGCTGCTATCGTCTGGTGCTGATGTTGCACATCTTGCGATCACCAAGAACGTAGATGGCCTCCTACGACAGATGCGTTCTCTGGATATCCGCCGCCTGTGGATCGATGCAGTATGTCTGAACCAAGACGACAAGACGGAAAAAAGCCGGCAGATTCCAGAGATGGGCGCCATCTACCGATGCGCCAACATGGTGCACATCTGGCTTGGGGAGTCGGATGAGGCTGCGGAGGCGGCGTTCGAGCTTTTTAAGACTTATGGGAGAGGAAATGATCTGTCTGAGTGGAGCTTGGGCGGCCTTCTGAGGGAGTTTGCCGAACGCCCGTGGTTCCATCGACGCTGGGTCATCCAGGAGGCATGTCTTTCGCGTCGCCCGCTGTTGCATTGCGGCAAGCTACGGCTTCCGCTCTCGGCCCTTGTTAGTGCCACTCAACAACTCGCCATGAACGTAAGGACGTACCAGAAGATTGGTTTGCTCGATCCCAATGCGGCAACATTCGAACTCCTAGAATTGCTCTATACTTTCCACGACTCACTCTGTATGGATCACAGAGACAGAATACTAGCGCTGTTTGGGTTACTCTCTCCGACTCAGCAGTTTTCAGTAGACTACCAAGTCCACTGGTCAGAGATGTATCGGCAAGTGGCCATGCACTTCTTATCACGCGGAGATAGGGCCACCAAGTTGCAACTCCTACTCCACCGGCTCGAATTTGGACATGTTGAAGTGGAAGACCAGATGCCACTCGCGCCATGGTGGGTGCCCAACTGGTCACGCTCTCGGCATTCAGCGCTGCCATTTTATCACATCGTTGATGTCGATAAATACCGAGGATACCCAAAGTATCTCGGAGACACTTCCTCAACGACTCTGGAGCTCTTTGGCCAAGCTGTCCGTCTCTCGTGGACTGCACCTGCTGGGACAGGACTACGGGACGAACAAGCGCTCACGGTGTGGGACTTTGAGCCCGTTCTGCGCAGGGACTACGGCTTCACAAACGTACTCGATAGCCTTCAGGAGCTCTACGCCTCGTCGGACTTGAGCAGGTCTGACCTTGTCGATGTCGTGGCACTGCTCAAGATGGTGGCACAAGCTGCAACTAACGACGCTAGGGGTATGAACTCAGGCATGTACTCGGAGCCGTTGACGGAAGGACATACTGCCATCATCAAGCACTACGGACTCGACCACCATGAATTAATCGGAGCGCTGCACTCGGCTCGCCTTTCATCTAGGTTCTCCATCTGCAAATTGGCGGCGCCTGCAAGGAACGGCGGGACCTGTAATGCTCACGCACCATTTGCAATTAGCTCGAGCCCAATGCTGCCGGGAGACGTCCTGATACCACTCTGGGCAGTGCAAGCTCCCCCTTCACACCCGGACAAGGGCCCTATCAATCAGTGGCGAGAGTCGGAGAGGAGAAAATTTGAGTATGGGCGTGGACCACGCGAAGGTCTCTGGGCGATGATGCTCGTCAGAGATATCCGGACCGATTCCCGTCCCGCAACAAAGTCAGACAAGGGCAGTACACCGACGACGAAGGCGAAGTTCGTTGGCGCCGCTCTAGTACTCTACGAAAATTCACAGGACGGCAATTCGGAGAGCGGAATCCGAGGGACAGGAAATCAAGCGCAGTCAAAACCGGCAGAGCGATTCTCAGTGGTAGTTGAATAGGTTACTATCTACCAAATGCAATATGCTACTAGTGATATCTTCGCAGATGAGATCACTCCCCGTAAACAACTGCCTTGCCTTCATCCAAACTTGCCTTGCTTCCGTTGACAGCTACTTTGCCTCCATTTACAGCTGTCTTGGACGCTTCCCTCTTTGCCTTCTCTGCAACCAGCTCTTCGAGCTTCCTGTGCGCCGACAGCAGAGTCTGTCCACTGGTGCCTGTGTGGTAAGGAGCTGAAGCTGGTCCATCAGATACGCGGACCACATAGTTCTTGGGCTGGTCATCGACGACCAGACGTAGCAAGTCTGGCCGAGAGTAGTGCCCCACGCAGTCCGTCAAGGCCTTTGCGTAGTCTATCTGGTCGAGGTCGATGTTGCAGTAGATGAGGCCGTCGAAGAGGGGATCCGTGGGCTCGGTGAGCTGCCTGCCATCCGGGCCGAACACGGAAGCGCGGCCTCCTCCTCCGGCGAGCATGAAGCCGTCCTTGTCTGCATTTCCCTGACCCTCACTGTTCAGCCGCGCCCCTTCGGCCGAGAGCGGCTGGTTGGTGACGAGACAGTAGACTGCGCCCTCGAGGGCGTACATGCGGCTGGCGGTGACCTCGTTGGCCTCTGAGAAGACGGAGTATGGTTCCTTCGCAGACGGGGTCCACGCTGCGTTAAACGGCCAGGCCGCAATGTGGACTTGCTCGCCCTGGCAGTATGTGTGATATTTGAGGAGTGGCTGGAGATGCTCCCAGCAGTTGAGCATGCCGATCCTCCCCAGCGGCGTCTCCACCACGGTTGTGAGGGAGTCGCCCGTCGAATCACCAAAAAGAGTCCTCTCGACATGTGTAGGCTTCGTTTTGCGGCGGTGCAGAAGAATGTTTCCATCTGGGCCAATCAGGACCTGCGCGAGGTACAGAGTTGCACCGACACGCTCGCTGAACCCAAAACACACATACATGTTCGCCGCCGCTGCCGCCTGGCGGATCTGGAGCATCTCATCCCCGTAGGCAGACATGCTGTTGGCCATGTACTTCTGCACCAGCGGCATATTCTCTCTGTAGGTCCCAGACCACAGGAAGTTCGGGTAGCCTGGGATCCAGACTTCTGAAAAGGCAATGAGGGAGGCGCCATTTTCGCTGGCTTCGTTGATGAGCCGGATGGACTTCGCGATGGCGGCCGTCTTATCGAACCAGCAGGGCTCGGCCTGGCAGATGGCAGCTTTCCACTGGCGGATAGACATGGTGTAGGTGCGGAGCGGAAGAGGTATCAGGAGCAAAGGGTGTGGTGAGCATGCGCCTTGACGGTCATCATTTGCTAGCTGCTCTTTGCTGCCTTATAGGCAGTCTAGCATCGATGATCTCCATGTCATTCCCATCCTGCATGTGTAACACCTCAGGCGATCCTTATCTCGGATAGGCATTACCCATCCTTTGATCGTCCAGTTCCGGTCCCCGTGGGCTCCACGCCGGCAACCCCGCAGATATGGGATACGCTAGCAATCCGGGGTAGCGGCCAGGTTCGGAGTCCCCCCTTGCCTAGCGCCGCATAAGCATTACCCGGAGCTAGAGGCCCAGCTAGGTGGTCCCTCCTGGAGGTTGAAGGAGGCGGCTGCTGATAGGCAAGTGGTCCCGTGCAAAGGACCCTCACCCTCAAAGATATGCTCTGGTGGCGAGGCGCTGCCTGGCCGTGCAGGCGGCAAGCACTTGGATGTCCAGCGGCAATGCTCTTCATGGCATTGCCGACCCTGGGCACCCATGCGGCCCTTGTCAGCATGTTCGTCTTCCGTGCCTCGGGCCCTATCGCACTCTCCCCACGCAACCTCACGCGACCGCAATGTCGGAGCCACACGACGATTCAGAGCACGACAGCATCGCCAGCAGTCGCATCAAGAGGATCCGGCAGGCTTGTGTCAACTGCAGAAAGAAAAAGGTCCGCTGCAGCGGAGATAAACCCGTCTGCAAGTATTGCAGTCGTCTCTCGCAGCCATGCATATACACAGTCGACGGCCGCAGCCACCGCGCGCCGTCTATGTCTTCTTTCGCCGAGCTACCTGACGTTTACCAGCCCGGAATGGTTGTGCCTCTCCCCTTCCGCCCCTTGGATCTCTCGGGGTCTTCGCTCAGAACCATTTGCTGATCCTTTTCCTGCAGAAATCTGTCGCATCCAGGCTCGCAAGTCTCGAGGACCAGATCGCAAGACTCCAGCAGACGGCAGACAAGTAAGAAACTATGAGTCTGCGCATTCCGGGAGAAAATGACAAGTCCTGATAACCCTTCATCGCGCAGTTTGATTTCCCTCACGACAGCTCTTGCGGCCGGAGCATCGGCACAGCCAGCCCTGACCGTCACATCAGAGACAACAGAGCAAACACACATATCTCCGGGCCAGACGCCTGCCGTTCGTTCCTCTCACAACGAGCTTCCTGCATTGCAGACACTTCTTTTCGCTGCA